GGTGAGTTACTTTTGGTTTTTTAGTTTAAATTATTTTTAACTCGACATTTTGCATATTAGAATCCACTACAGTTGGGAACCTGATAGTGACTCACTCTTGACGGATCGTTCAACGAAAATGAGTTAAGATCACATGCAACTTTGCTGAAGAGAATTCCAAAGAGTTCCCCAAAATGTTCAAAATAAAGAAGATATTGTATAATAGAAAGTAATTAAAATGTGATAATTGAACCGTTGGGCACCTCCGTCTGCTTTGACCTTTCATTAGCCTTGAATTTATTATTTATTTTTATTTAATGAATTAATAGAATAAATGTCAAAATTTTCTCAGCGGTACTAAGTATAATTCTATAAGACTGTTTTATGTGACTACATAAATGATTTAGGAAATAAGAATCTTAAACGATCAAGCTAGATCTTTAGTGCTAAAATAATTTTGTGTGAATTTCTAAACTGTATATATTATATATCCTTTTTAAACTGCCGGAAAAAAAAATTTCTCAGCGAATACAAAAAAATGTGGGAATATTGCGCTGTAAGAGCACGCCTTTCTAAATACATCTGTCGCAATGAATCGTTCACTCTGCGAATCTTAATTAAACCGGTGTGTTAATCTTCGCACTGCATTTTCTTCTTCTCTCAACGATGATTAACGGCACGACAACGGCCGCCCTGGCATTTAACTTCGTGCACACCTGTCCTTTGTAACGTCATGGTAATTTATTAATGTCCATTACAAAGGAGGAGGGCGCCTTAATTATCACTCGCTCGGAAAGGAGCTACGAATTGCAGAAATATCATGGTACTCCGGACTGCGACGGAAACGTAACCAGGTTCACTTTTCTCTCGTCTCGCAACTCAATATGGCAAGGCTGCTGAAGAATCGCCGAGAGGACGAGGGTGAGGTAAGATACCTCCTTATAAAGGCCGCTTTCAGACCTGTCGCACTTCTTCTCGTGGAAAGACGGGAATTACGGCTCGACGCCTTTACGACGATGTAATCTCAACCGGATTAACATATACCCTGGCCGTTCGTGAATCTGTCTGCGCACCTTAAATTCCGCGAAGAAAGAACCCAAGACGATGGATTGTGGAGAGGCAAGGTCGTGGAATGAATAAAACCAAGGAGAGTCGGGCTGCAAGAAAATGGGTCTTGCTATTGCCAAGGTTTTTCTCTCCGCTGCCGTCGTTGTCGTCATCATCGTTCCCCGAAAGGGCAACTCTGGTTGTATAATGAACCGCAACGGTGCTCCCTCGAAAGCGTTTTTCGGTCGTTCGACAATGGACCTCCCATTGCGTTTCGTGGTATACGCTTGTACGTCTCGCATATCGTCACTCTTTTACGCAAAGTTGTTGGAGGTGTTGCAAAGAAAATCGATTCCAAGTTTCTCTGTAGCTACATGCGATACGTGTTGCATCTGTTTGCGATATACATCCTCTGTAATTATAATTAAGTGAATACGTACTTGATTAGCGCGATAATGTGGGGGAATCATGTCAATTTCTCTCCGATCAGATTTTAATCGTACATTATACACACTTCCAACATGAATCGTCATAATCAAATGCACTCATACAAAAGTTCGCTAGCAAAAAGAGCGAGCTGAATATAAGATTACACGTGTTGCGTTCCTTTATAATGTATATAGTTTTAATTGCCGCATACACGAGGGATAGCATTATCGGCGATAGCGAGATTATAAACGCGCGAGATCGCAGCTACGTTTAATTAATAGAATCATCCTAATCACCGTGGAGCTCTTTTGCCAACGACCACACGAACATCTTGTTACCCCGTTGCACTCGGATTTTACTCCTTAATCACTTTATAATCAGCGTGTTGAGGAGGCCAAAGCGAGCAGCGAAAGCGGTTTTCAGCGAACCGCTATTATGTTTCCAAAGGCGCCATTAATGAGGATAAAATGTTCCGCGGAACTTTACGCCACTCCGAGTCGCGCCGCTAAAGAACGTTCTTTCGCGTTTAATTCTTCGATACTCCTTCTCGCGCGAATAAACGTACACTTAAAATCCCGCAAAATGATCGTGATCTCAAAATGGGAAGTACGAGAGAGTGCAACAAACAGTGTCATATTTCCGGAAAAATCAAACGGTATGCGAAAAATATCCGAAAACTCAAGCAAACGAAGAGTCGAAAAATCTCGAAAACATATGAGTGGATATATGAGAAAATTAATTTACGAAATAGAAAAAAATTCGGGATCACACATTTTTTCAAAACTAGTATGTATTCATTCGATTTCAATACCGCGATTTATCGGAACTCCGCGGCTCGCTCGCTCGAATATCGCGCAGAAACGATGTTTCAGAATGACAAAGTTTCGGAATAACGCATTTTCCGACGCGTTGTATCGCTTGTTTTTTATCTTTTTTTTTTTTTTTCATTTTTCGTTTTCCCTCGGATTTCGCGCATCCGTCCGAACCGTCGCGTATCGGCGATCTCGACGTGGCTATTTAGCGCGAGGAGGTCCGATTTCGCAAACGGAAATATTCTCGCGACGCGAGACGAAAATTCAGAAAATTTGCATAAAAACCGTATATTTGCGCCGTACGATGCAAAACGAGATACCCGGACGAGAATTTCGTGACGGGGGCCGAGGGTGGATCGACGGGGTCGAGTAGATTTTTAATTTACTTCGACGGGGATTTGTGCCGGAGCGCGTTATCTCGGGGGCATTTTGTAACGCGCTTTACCGGTACCGTACAATACGGGATACCGCTGTCCGGATGGGTGGAAGCTTTCCCGTTTCTTTTATGCTCCATCCGATGGCTCGACGACGCGAGTCTCGCGCGAAATGGGGCTGGAGGAATCCGATTTTCTGGTGTTCGAACCGCTCGGGTAGAAAATGACGTACAGAGCTATTTCCGCGGCAACGATCCGTTCCCGACCAACGCGACGGCCCGCTTTTCCCCCCCCCCCCCCGGCTATCTCCTAATGAAAATAATTACGGCCTGTTCATTGTTCGCGTGGATTCTAGAGGGTGGGATCTAATTTATCGAGAGCGACGAGTTTGCGTGTAAGAGTGTTTGAAAGAGAAATAGAGAGGTAGGTGGATAGACGGAAAGCGAGAAAGAGAAAAAAAAAACAAGAAAAATCCTGTTTTAATACCGCTGCGAGAAATAGCAGCTGTAGTCGGATTCTGTAAATTAAATTGCGGAAAAATTATTTTAAAAATGTACCGATTAGTAACGCATCGATTAAAAATATGTGTTCAATGGGATAAATCTGTAAAAAAAAAACTGAAAATATCTAATCTAGTAATAATCGAAGTAGCACGAAAGAGATCACGATGCAATGGTTATTAGATCGAAATTGATGAAACTATGAACTAATCGCGTGTAACATATAACATATTGCAAGTGATCCACAACCCATGTTGCACGCGATTAAAGTTAAGTATCGTGCATCTCGGGCAGGAAGGAAAGGTCAACACAGCTCGGGATAGTGTATCTGAGATGAGATCACGAGACTTTGAGGTATGGAATTTCATTTTAACTGCAAAATTCAGCCGGCAAAATCGAACCGTGAGCAACGAAGTTTTCCCATTAATTTCTTCACGCTCGTACTTTGAGATAATTAATTAGAATTATGAGAAAAGTTTCTGAAGCACCTGTTACGTGTTTAGAACGGCTACTTCAGAATCTTGGCGAATATCACTATCGAATATTTTACATTGTCGCTCTCGCGGCACAGACTTGTAATAATAACGGTGATGAACCAAGAGCTATATTCTGATTAATATTCAGCATGAAATTCATTTGCATCTGTATTCAAATTTTAAAGGAATCTATCTTTTCTCCTACAATCTCTCGAGGAATATTAAATACAGCTTAAACATAAAAATTACAATAATAATAAAAGTTTAATTTTACTTAAGTTTTCTAATTTTTTATTAATAAATTTTTTTATACAATATAAATACTGCGATATAGAAAAAATCGAATAATGTTTATAATATACACTCTCTGAATCAGTGGATAATTTACTGAAGTTGCATACTTGGTACTGAATTATCTATCGTATTCTACTGAATTAGCATATTTGGCACTGAATAATCAGTAAAATTCATCTATAAAAGAAAAGAAGTTTGAGCAATATATAGTTAAAATACTGATATTTACACATTCTAGCATATTCTAATTCTAATCTTACATGTCATTTACGTTGAATGTGCTACACTTATATACTGAAGCAACAAAATTCGCTACAAATTAGGGATACCATATTTCATTCATTAATTAACAGTGGCATATTTAGCACTGAATCAAGGATTATCCACTGATTCAGATTTAGAGACCATATATTTTCCGTATTTTCAAACTCTTGCAATTAATCTGTATTAAGGGGGAAAAAAGGGATTTCATCTACAGATATTAGGTAATATCTAAAGTCTTTTAATAGAAGACCAGCAATCATCTTCACGCTGATTATTTGTCAATAACAGAGCACGTCGTATAATACTGCCGACGATAATTACGAGGGGACCGCTTTTAATCATCACTCGTCTACACGGTAATCCGAAGGCACGGGCAATCTTCTTCGTAAAGCCACGCGATGACCCCTAATTGGCCACATTATTAAAATCGCATTTTCGTGATCCCAGCTGTGAGGGATCGTCCCTGCGAAGCGTACGGCGATGAAGTTCCCTCGTAAAATAAATCACGCCATCCCATCGCGGTAATTCGGCACAGCCGCTTCTGCCTTGCCGGTAATATTGGATATTTTCTTAATGGCGAAACTTCCACGGACTTACCCCTTCGAGTCGAGTTCATCCTCGTGAACTCTCTGATAAATCGGTACACGATTCTCCACCGTTTTCGATAGTCTCTTACCCTTCGCCCTATTCGCTCCATCTTTCCCATCCACCTATCGCTTATACCGGCGTTTATTCCGGTACGAAAGACGAAGGAAGTACGGAAGTCCTTGAACCGCCCCGGATGCATAATCATCTTATACGGAAGCACTTCTATTCTCGTTGCAGCCATTGCACCAGCGACTACATCGCCGTTTACTCTGGTCCAACCACGTCGAGTCCGTTGTTGAAGATGCTCTGCGGCAAGGAGAAGACGACGCTGGTATACGAAGGTCAAGAACTTCTCGTTGAATTTAGGTGAAGAACGCATCTCTTTAACGGCAGGACAGACGAGACCCATCGGTTTCGAGTTCTCAATCGATTTAAATATCTTATCTTGCGCCTTCAGAAATATTCGTTTTTACAGAACTGGTCCCGAAGTATCGCCCTTCGATTATAATGGCTTCGTCGCGACGCTGAGTTTTATTGAAGTGACGACGGAAGCTCCAACGACGATTGCCACCGATAGCACGAATAAAACTCGTAAGTAACGTAGAAGAAAGCACATCTCTAGCGTAAATCATCGCGTCGAGTAGTCTAGTACTTACACACTTTTGATATATTTCTACTAAACTTTAATAAAAAAAAAAATGATAATAGAAGATTTTAAATAATTTAGATTCTACTAAAAAAAAGGTCTGGTAATAATAATCAAGTTTAAAAGCTTTAACGAATAATTTCAATTAAATGTTTAGATAACCACAAAATATAATCAAAATCAACTAAATGTCTATTTTACTTTTCTAAATATTATCTTATTTTTCTAATTACGGTTGCTGTTATTACAGTACAGGAAAATCGCCGATACTGACATAGATCTCCTAAAGCGACACTACTTTATTTCTCAGAAACTAACTATTGCACTTTACTAACACTAATAAAATCATTTGTTTAACTAATTAAAAAAGTACAAATAATTCGTATATTTGTGGCTTTCTATACCAAATCAGTTAAAAACGAATTCTACGAATGCGAAAATAAAATTCTTATGATTTTCTTGTGGAAATTGCGTGCTTTAAATAATAGTAACTATATTATTGATAATATTACCTTGTTTTAAATGCTTGTAATTTCATAAATCAATTTTATTTATACTATTTTTTTTTCTCTTAGTTTATTCATAACACGATTTTAAATTTAAAATTAGGATGCAGTGTAAATTGTCACATCTATAAAACAGACCATGAACTAACTTAATTTTTATAATGTTGCTTTATAGTGTCGAATAATTCTATTGAAGCTGAAGGCAATCGTGCATATATGGAAAAACTCTTGAAAAACTATCATGTCACATATTTGCATCTTGCAGAACAGCCTAAAGTAAATATGCATATAATTCAATAAAAATGTTTTATAACGAAGTGAAGAGATTCTGAAAAATCTTATATACATTCATTTGTAGGTACTTTATGCAGATAATTTCTGTAAGAGAAAAAGTATATGAATACGTAGCGTTACTGTCTACTGTGTAAGTTTTGGAGCTCATTTTGTCAGACCCTCATTTTTACTTATCTTACGGGGCAAAAAAATTAATTATTGCAAAATTACAAACAGTGTTATAAAAACTGCTTATACTATCTGAGTCTTATAGAAGACACTTTTTAATTTGTACTTACGTTTTTAAAGTTTTATTTTTACCTTTTGTTTAAGTAATATTGTCTAAAAATAAAGTAGATGTCGATATCGACGATTTTCCTCTAATATTTACTAATATTACGTCAACATAATATTATTGTTGACGTAATTGATAATATTATATTTGATAATATTTATTAATATTGCATCAATATAATAAACGAAATAAATTTGACAGACACACTGCAGACATATTATAGACTATTTTAATGTATTCTCGTCTTTGTATTTCATAATCTTCTTCACATTTTTTCCTGTTCCGACAACTTCCAACTTCATATCACAGCACAATAAACTATTATCAAAGCTTATCTAGCTCTCCGATCTTTCAGTTGACTCGATGAAGTCTAATAACTACAACAATCGCGATCTCCATGACCACCGCAAGGACCAAGGTACAGTGACTAGCAGCTGCGACCTCGAGGTGAGTGGCGAGAAGGTCCGGGCCGGCCACCATGATACTAGGGGCAAACCCAAGTCCACGACCTGCAAGCTTTTGCTGCGTGGCCGTGCTTACGACACCGGACACGTTTCCATAGCCAGTTACAACCTCAGGTAACCTGATTCGCCGATCGTCACGAACTTCTTCAAGTCACACATTGAAACGCACGTGCGACCGCAGTCTTAAAAGGACGAAAACCCATATCTTTCTTTATTTCCACGCCTCGTTTTCTTCGTGTCTATCGACATGTTTCTCTTACGTAAACCGAACACCGGTGAAAACTGTGTAGTTATGTAATGGCGAGCACAACGTGTCGCGATATACGTGGAATTGCGTCTCTCGCGATTGTTCGCCACTTTTGATCTGGCAATCCCTACAAATCCGCAGCGGGTTGTGTACGTAACGTTGAATTCGTGATAGTAAAACACGATAAAAACGGTCGGTGGTTTGTACTATTGAATAAGTCAAGCGCCATAAGTTCCGATATACACTTTTATTTGCGTGTGAAGTAATATCGCCCTGTATTCTCGTAAATCAGAGTGAAATGTCAATATTGATTAGTACCCAAAAATCTGAGAATGTCGTGAAACCTTGGAATATCTAAGAATATCTAAGAACATATGAAAGAAACATTATTCCGCAATCGTGCTGTTACGTCTACGCGCGAGACTCTTATTTCACAGTTAGTAGCAACTTGCGTAACTTATCGAAATGGCGCCAGGATGGGGGGGGGGATGGAGAAGGAAACCACCCCGTGGACTCGTCGCGGCGCGTAGTCGCGGAAAGTAGCGTTAAATCACGCGAGGATACACCGGCGCGTCCGCATCCCTGGGATTTTCAATTATCATGCGCATGCTACGCCAACGACATGCGGAACGCGTATCTGCGTCTTCGGAGACGTGTTATGTACGTGTTCGTGGAGACGGAACATGCCGCGGCAAAGAGATGAAACTACCCTCGGAACGCAACGACGACGAGAGTCGTATCTCCGACAACCCTCTCGACATCATATACGAACGCTCCACTGTCGGTCTCCGAAGCCGCTACCCCATATAAACCGGTGGAAGATGTGTAAGTGCGCGCGCGCGCGTACTTACGAGACGCGGAACGGAGGGCTTTATTGAAGGTAGCATGAATTTTGAACGGAATATTGTAAATCCGAGCGCCAGGTGAACCGAGAAAGTATCTCCGAGCACGAGGAATATCGCGCACCTCTCACCCACCGACCAAATCCTCCTCCCGTGTATTTCTCCCTCTCCCTCTCTCTCTCTCTCTCTCTCTCACGCTCCTTTTTTTTCCCAGTTTTCATGCGCGCGTAATAGCGGCATCCGTGTCGGATTTGCAGCTTACTTTCCGCAGACGCGGCGTCTGTGAGGCGATTAGAGCGAACGAAAACGCGGCACTCGAATATTTTGGTTCGGATGATACATTTACAGATTATCCCGGAACAAATATCGGATGTAACGTTTCCAAAAAGCTTTCAATCTTTCCTCCGGATTAAAAGGGAAATTGACAGGCGAGGAAATCGGTGTAATAATACGTTTAACACATATACTTTTTTTTAGAGTTCCGAGTCTTTTTTTTTTTTTTTTTTTTTCGTTTCCATGAAAAGCGTGTTAGATCGCTACATCCTTCAAAATTCTTTACACGAGAATTTCCAGTTGATGTATCGACGGTGAATTTTCCTGCTACGGGACGACGAATTTTGATAGCGCGCATGACGTCCGTCGTAAAATCCACTGATAGATATGTTCCCGCTATCGATTTTACAGCGCACAGTCCTGTCAGTCGACGATCGAGATATTCGACGGTTCGCCGGAAAGCGGAACCCTGGATACCACGAACTCCTTGGAGAAGATTTGCAGTCCGGCGCAGTGGCTCCCGCGGGAACTCGCGAGTCAAGATAAGTAAGTGAATTCCCCTTGGTTATTAGAGCGATCATTAGAGAGGTACCGGTTTATAGGTAATGCATCGTAATTTGAGTTGGTAAATTTCGAGATCCCACGGAAACTCGAAAACACGCGCGGTGCCGGGTTAAAGCCGGGAATCGGTTAAGTCTCCTTGGAACTCTGCGTCAGAATGGAGATTAGTTTCTAAACGCTAATCTCTGCTCGCAGAAACACAAGCGCTCGAGACAACGTACGTATTAAGACGTACGGATTGGTTAAACTGGAAACACATGAGAAAAACCTGAGACAATCGAACGTAAGCAGTAAGCGAATTGACCAGTTACGGTAGAGAACGTAAAACAATAATCTTACGTTCTCCATCGCAATTGGTCTTGTGTTTTGAACTAAGCAGCGATCTTAAAGCGAATTTTGTCGCAACTCTTTCTTAGTCCTTACACGCCTTACACG